TACGATCACATCAAAATTGACACTTGGCACTGCCCTAACTCGAAAACTAGCTGGGAAATAGTGGCTAAAATTTTGTCAGCATGCTTATCGCTCGTATAGGAAAACGTATACCTAAAATAAGTTTCGATTTGGACTTGCGCCGCGACTTAGGGCACTTCAAAGATATTTGTAGAGATTTGTAGCGAAGTAGCTATTTCGCTTACCGGATAAGATGCGCAGCTGAAAATTCGCTGGAATATTCTACTTTCAGATGCGGTCTTAATTCTGCTTGTGAACATGAGAAATACTCAACTTTATCAAGAACTCAGAAACGAGTGTATTTTACAATGAACGACCGCCTCATCTCCCAACACCCAGTTCATTTATATATTTGGATTTTTTGACGAACGACCGCTCTACAACATTCTCACTTTTCAGTGAATTGGAAATTTGCATTTTTTCGAAGAGCAAGCATTTACCAGAAAAACGACCGGGCTTCATTCAGAAAATTGTTAATCATGTAGCTGGAGGTCCATGCAGCCCTATAATGTAACACCATCCCAACTGATGCCCTTTCTCCTGCATGCCGGAAAAGGCCGAAGCACGGCCAGCATGAGCCCAAGCGTTAGGCTACAGTACAGGGATCATTCCTGTTATTAGCGATTTGCGAGTTTAGTGCAAAAACGCATGATCGCATTGGCAAACTTGATGCGTTCCAGCCCCCTGAATTGTATTTTTATTTCGTCTTTGACATTTCTGCTCACTTGTGGGCTTCCGGACACGGCTGAAGCTGTGAAGTTGGGCGCACACGGTGAGCGCACACGGTAAGTGTAATGCAACACCATTCATATCGTTAACGACCTAATTGCTTCAAGTATGGTACAAAAACGCATGATTGCACATTCCAGCGCTTCAGCCTAGAGTTATCCTCTTTGCTGTCATTCAGTCTGTTTCTCTGGAAAAACTCAGTGAAATAACGATGTGAACTCGCCGATAAGATTATGGTGAAATCATATGCTGGACATATTGAAAGAGCAGTGACACAGGCACTGGAAATGATTATTGCATGTTAGAGAGCAGAATATCTATAATGAGCTAAAAGACGAGGAGGTAAAATAACAATTCGTGTGTTGCGGATTTCATTCACATCGAATTTGGTTTCTAGCTTAAGTTTTGTAGCTTGCGATCTTAAAGGGCTGAACGGTTTTTTGGCGCAGTGTTCTCGGTGGCATAACTCTGAGTGAACTCAGTTGTAGCCGGTGACATCTTCCACATTTTGTTTGTAACACTAAATCGTCTGTAAATTCCACTGTTCTGGCACTGCGATTTGCGAAGCTGCAACGCCTGTGGCAGTCAAGATCACTGGGTTTTGTTGTTTATTTGAATTCTGCTGTGTTCTCGGTTTCAGGGTTCAGGCTCCGATTCGGATCAAGTAGCAAACGAGCAATTGAAGCGATCTACGTCCTCAGCG